TCCGCTTTGAGTTCTTTGGCAATAGCATCCAGTTCAGTCTGCCACTCACGTATGCTTCTTCCAGCCAGTGGTATCCCCTCCGGAGTATTCCACTCTTGGGCACCAGCAGGGACGGACCCAGAAATCTTACCTTATGGGGTCATAGTGTAAAAGTTCGAAATTTTTTATAGATCAAAATAACATTAGAAATGAAACGTTCATTCATAATTCATATAAAAAAACAACATTACAAACTACAATTGTCCAGGACGAGATTTCATATTTTGAAAACGTAGCATTATAACTTCATTTTTAATACAAGCAAAAATATCATTCTCAACGTAAACAAGCAAATTATCACTCAACAATTGATCTTCCATTTTGTTTCGAAGTAATAACTCACATCAATTAAAGAGAACACTAAATTTGTACCAATGAACTACAAAAAAATTCATATATGAAACATCCAATAAATCGAAATAAAATAATAAAATAATAATTTCAATTCAATTAATTTAGGCTTAGAGTTAGAATTTACTTGAATTGTTATGTGGTGGATGTGGCAGCAAGCTTTTGGCAGTGGCGGCAACAATTGAGGAGATGGGGGTTAAAGGTTTTGTTGTGTGTGTGTGTGTGTGGCTGGGGGGGAGGCAGTGGCGGAGCCAGTGCATGCCCAGGGTGGGCACTGGCCCCCTCTCAAATATTGCTATACATTCAATTTTATATTAGGAAATTGTACAAATATTATAAAATTCCTCACAAATTCTTTAATGGCCACTATTTTCTTTGTTTCTCTTTCATTTTCATGTCTAAATTTCTTTTGAATTGCATGTATTTTGTTATCATAAAAGAGTGATAGATTGTTCATACAAAAAGTAAAGAAAAAAAAAATAGAGAAAAGTGATAAAATTAGGCATTTTTAAAAACTAGGTTGATTTGTTATAAAAGAAAGTGTTTGAATTGTTAAGGGTGCCCCCTCTTACTTAAATTCCTGGCTCCGCCACTGGGGGGAGGGATGGAGGGTTCAGGACTAAAGAATTGGGGTTTTGGGCGTTGCCGGGATCGGGTGTGGAGGGGTATTAGAATAGCTGGGCTGTTTTTATTTTTATTTTTAAAGACCTGGACCAAAACGATGTCGTTTTGGCCAGGTCATTTAAAAAAAGAAAGAAATTCGCTGGGCTAAAACGACGTCGTTTTACCCAGCATTTTAACAAAAAATGAAGCAGCGCCCTGCTTCTTCTTCTTCTTCCTCGTGCAGCAGCCATTTTGTTCAGGCCAAACAACAAGCAAGTGGAGGGCATCCATGGGGTCGCACAGTCAGCTTAAAGGGACCTTCAAGCTTATTTCCATGGAGTCCATAGGGTCGCTTGACCCCATTGACCCCACTGTGGGTCCGTCCCTGGGCACCAGATGGGCCAAAAACACCCTTTCTTCCGTTAAGAATTGAGAAAGCATCCATCTCTCGATCAAAAACCAAAAATGGTTCATCTTCAGCTGCTATGTAGAGCAAAGACTGCATCATCAAGTAGCATTGAACAAAATAGAATCTCCAAGAATTTAACAGAGGTTAAGAGCAATTTGGTGTGTCTGGTACGCAGGATTAAGCCATTTGAAAGAAGATCACGGTGTCTTAAGTAAAGCGTACAGCCGTTCGGTTATACTATTTATATAAAATATTTATTAAAAAAAGGACCCCAGTACAGCCGGACAGCGATACTTTTTTTTAAAAAAATATCCCTAGTCTAGCCGCGCGGCTATACTATTTTTTATAATAAAACCATAGTACAGCCGCGCGACTATACTCTTTTTATATTTAAGGATTATTCGCAACAATGGTCCCTCAACTATACCATAAGTTACACTTTGGTCACTCAATTCAAATATTAGTTGTAATAGGTGTTTTGTTGCACCGTTAGTCCTACTGTCAAGTCTGTTACTTTTTCTATTTAAAATGATGACGTGGCAAGCATCTCTTAGATTATTGATAGGCAAATGTGACTTTTCAGTTAAGATTATTTGTAGCAATGATCCCTCAACTATACTCGGAGTTACATTTTGGTCACTCAATTAGGTGTTGTGTTGCACCATTAGTCTCGAAAAAGTAACAGACTTGACAGTAGGACTAACGGTGCAACAAAACACCTAATTGAGTGACATTTGTAATTAAAATTTGAGTTGAGTGACCAAAGTGTAATTTGGGGTATAGTTGAGGGACCATTGCTGCGAATAACCCTATATTTAAAAAACAACCACCGCGTATAGCCACGCGGCTATACTATTAAAAAAGGACCTGGCTTCTCTAGCTTCGACACGTGTCAAAAATAGTACAGCCGCGCGGCGATAATATTTTTATTATCAAAAAATGAGTAGAGCCGTACGGCGATACTATTTTTACTATTTAAAAAATTCCAGTAAAGTTGTCCGGCTATACTATTAATTGAAAAGTTAAAAAGAGGACAGCCTGGCGCTGCGCCCATTTCGCCACGTGTCAAATATTGTATAGCCGATCGGCTATAATATTTTTGTTAATAAAAAAGTAGTATAGCCTCCCAGCTTAAAAAAAACCCCAGTATAGCCAGCTGGCTGTACTATTTATGATAAAAAGGGACCACCCTGCTGGCACCCTATGCCCGTTTCGGTATGTTTCAAAAATCGTATAGCCACGCGGCTATACTATTTTTTAGAATAAATAACCGTCGTATAGCTTTTTATGAAAAACCCCCGAGTATAGCCGCTCGGCGATACTATTTATGAAAAAAAAAGGGACCCGCCGGCCCATGCGCCTAATTTGTCACGTGTCGAAAACAGTATAGCCACTCGGCTGTACTATTTAAGTATATTATATTTAGGAAGGTGATTTTCGGCTAAACCCTAAAATAGGAAGTCCTCTAGGAGCTCCTAAATCTGAGGAGAGAGAAAGGACTCCTAGTGGCTCCCTATAATTTAATGCTGCCTTATTTAATGAGTATTTCAAACCTTTATTTAATGCTAACTATTTTTTATTTTATTTTTTAATAGAGATGAACCAATCAAAAAAGAGTTATAGCATTTATAACTCTCCAAATTAGGGAGTACGGTTGGAGTTGAAATTTTTTAGAGAGCTCCTAAAATAGCTTTCATATATTTTTAGCTAAATTTTAGCTAAGAAATAGAGAGCATCATTGCGGATGCTCTAACCCCTTTCTCCTTGTCTCTCTCTCCTTCCAAAACTTATCAAGACACCCCACCCCCCACCTCCGTCGGCGAACCCAGCAGCAACACCACCGTCACCTTCACGTCACCTGATACGACACCGCAATGTCAAATCCAACCCCAAAACCTAGCATGTCCCTCTAAACCCCGACCCCATCAGATCTGGCCTTCAACACCGACGAGCTATTGGAGATGGATGCGTCGGGGTGGGGATGATTCTCTCGTGCACTCTCTCTCTCTCTCTCTCTCTCTCTCTCTCTCAGAGAAATCATTCAAATATGGATGCGTTGGGTTCAATTTAATTTGTTTCTTGGAATTGATATGAATTTTTCTAGTTGTAGGTTTGATTATTTGTTTTGAGTTTGAGTGATGTAAGCAAGATTAGGATGGCTGGGTGGCGCCTTGGAGGAAGCAGTCGGGCTGGAGGAGGCTAGGCGGCGAGAGAGGGGCAGAGATTTTTTTTTCTTTTCATTTTTGATTTTTTGATTTATTACTTAACTTTCCCAATATATGTTAAGGTTAGAGTAGGAAACAGAAGGGTTCAGGGTTCAGGTTAAAAACAAAACAAAATTGATCAAAAAGTATTAAAAAGCAAAAATGGAGTGTAAGTAGAGAAAAGGGAGTGGGAAAATTGGCTACTTATCCTATTTATTAAATTTTAAAAAAAAATTAAAAATGACTCTTTTATTTGCATTAGTTTAAATTTTAAAAAAATTAGTCTCTGTGCACGCACTTCAGCGCCTAATAGGTTTTTTTTTTAAATTTAAATTTATTTTAGAATTAAAAAAGATAATGGGTAATTGTGTTCCATAAAAGTAGGATCTATTATCTGATTTTTCTTTTAATTTTAATTTTTTTTAATATGAAAAAGTGTGAATTTACCATTTTATCATTCAATATATGCTTTGGAGATGTCGAAACTATCAAATTAATATATATATATATATATATATATATATATATTAATTTGATAGTTTCGACATCTCCAAAGCATATATTGAAGAAAGAGAAATTTCACAGTAAATCAATTTGAGAGTTCAATTTATTCTTCTTTTTTGGGGACTGTTTGCTTTTGGTATAAAAAAAGTCCCCAATATAGCCGCGCATCTATACTCTTTAAATATATTATAAATGTATAATATATATTATATTTTACTCTTTCAACATATCCAAGGCGGCAACTAGGCACTAGGCGAGAGGACACCGCCGCAATTTCACCCTAAGTCAGTCGACTTGGTCGGGTCTAGGTGGGTCGGTTGGCTGCTTCTCTACTTTTCTCGACCCAACCAGTGGCAACAACTGCTTCTTCTCTACTTATTAGAGGTATCTTTGAATTTTTCTTCTTTTCATAGATGAGAGGTGATGTAGGCATGAGATGAGAGACGAGTGAGGTGGAAGATGAGGTTAGTGAAACATTGTGTTTCACTAGAACATAACCTAATTGTGTTTTTATTTCAACCCTCTACTCTTTATATCAAAGCATGTATCATATGACTCACATATACACATTTTATATATATTAATTTTGGAATAAATTTATAATTTATAATACAAAATAATAATTATTAAGAAAAATATAAAAAAAGGGCCTACACCCCAATTACTCCTTTAGGTGCAAGGCCTACCCGTCGCCCGCTTACGGCCTAGCGATTTTTCCAACATTGATGTTTATAATTTGATTTTATTGAAAAAGTAAACATCCAGTTCACTGTTGGGTTTTTATTTTTAGCCACTCAACACTCATCTTCCAACAAAAGGAAAAAAAAAAGAAGAAATTAATATAAAATATAAAATAAAAAGTAATACAATTTAAGTTTACTAAAAATGTATGTAATCTTGTACATAACCATAAAGGGGAAGAAAAAAAAAGGAATCTGAGAAGAAAAAAAGAAGATGTAAATTAGCCAGTGCTGCCAGATAGATCTCCAGAAATTGCACTTCCATATGAAGCTGATCCAGTTTGAGATGCAGTACCGCGAGCCTTCTGGATCTGCCGTATCCTGAAGGCATCTCTTGGGAGTGGGTGGCTCTGGACCGAAGCTTCTTCCTCCTCTTGCCCTACCATTCATAAGATATTTTGTTACTGAGAACTTACCAATACTCTCCATATAACATTTAGGAACGCACACATTAAGACAGCTTGATTTGTGCTTAGCATAACTCATTAAAAGCGGTACTCATAAAATAATGATTTCAATTAGGGGTCTGTGTGGCTCATGCAAAGACCATGACCTTCCTAACAAATTCACAAAACCAATGCCCAAGTGCATACACAGCCCCAGCTACTATGATTTAGTAATGTCAAATCCATGAAACCAGGGCACTCCCACGTCCATCAGAAACTGACTAGCATGGCAATTTGATAAAATGACGATCTGCAATATAGCCATCAATGGCCAACATTACCAACAAAAATTAGTTTTTAAAAAGCAAGAATATGAGGCCATCGGGGTCTAGCCTAGTGAAAAATGGCCTTGACCTGCAGGTTCTAAGCCCCATGGAATCTTGGCAGTGCATGTGAGAAAACCCCCATCCCCCTTCCTAACTTTGGCCATAAAAAATAAAGAACTAACATGAATGTCCCTAGTTACACTGCGTCTAGTCCATTTTGAATATAAATTTAATCATGTCAATCTCAGAAGAACTTCAGTTAGTATTTTTCTTCTTTGACATCTCTCTTAATGGATGGAAAATTAAATCTCAAGAGGCACATGACTTGGACTCCTACAATATCTTTCTGAACTAGTATACCAGCATATATATCACCACAAAGAAAGGAACCACGTACTATCAAAATGTTTCCTTTTCCCCCTGGCTGGCTTGAAAGATGACGCACTTGGGATGGGATGAGACTTGCTTGAAACAGAAAGGTCACTGGTGGAAGGAGCAGGTATAGATGGCAATGGCATTGGGGCAGCCCCTGACTTCCCAGGCTGTGGTGCTGGTACGTCACTTTGCAAACAAATTGACAACACAACATCAACATCTGGTGTTGGACCTGAAAATTTCAACAACAAAAAACAAAATTTCCATTCAACAGCAGCATAAAGGATCAGGGGTCATGAAATAAGGGTAAACCTTCATTACCAATGACAAACACCATCAGATTTAATATGATAAGATAAGACCAAATAAACTCACCATGCAATTGAAAGATGGAAGAAAGAAGTTACAAAGTCAACGCAGATCATAATTTTTTTAAAGAAAAAAAATTAAAATCAGGACACCTCCGATTTTGAAGTCCTCAGCAAGACCGATTCCTTAATCCATGGGATCCTAATATTCTCAAATTTTATATAAATATATACCCACCGGATCAAGCATCTTCTGAACATTTGTCACAGGTCAAATCATACATTTGTCAATTGTCTTCCCATATTTTTATGAAGGTAGCAACAATCTACGCATGAATATTTATAAACCCGTCACAAGAATGACATTTCAGTCCAAATTTTTACTGGTCTATTCTGACATACAATTCAAGTCAGAATGGCTTTAAATATACAGACTACAAAGTTTGTAAACTGGAAGAGGGAAAGCACATTCCGTTTAACTGAAGAGAACTTCAAAATTTACCCTCAACAACTGGCAAATTTGATAAGAAGGCTACCAAAGCAGGTGGTGTTGCTTCTAATATTTCATCAAACGCACTCATTGTTTGACCACCTACTGCTGCAATCATGGGATTTGACAAGGCTTTAGAAGCAGTGGGAACTCCAGCTGCTGTTGTGGTCTGAAAATTCCCAGCACCTACAGTAAAAGAAAATTAAGTAAAGAAAAGACTAACAGATAAAGTTCAGTCACTGAACTTAAGCTACATAAATCCAAAAAAGCATGGTACAATCACATCTATGATATATTACAATACAGAATTAGACATTCTTGAAACTTCATTGTTTTGAAGAGGTCAAAGAAAATGAATCATTTAAACTATTAAAACTATTCACAGTATATTTGAAATAAACGGACTTATTTGATCATACCCCATCTCATCAGGTTGAATTAAACTAAGAGAAATATCCCTAAAATTCTTTGACATTGATGCCCATAAAGACAACAAAAATCTATCCCCTCCAATAACATATCCGCTTTGTTCTTCTTATCCAAAATTTGTTATTTGTCTCTATATCCAAACTGTTCAAAGAACCACCATAACTGCGAAGCACCCTGAGGCATTATTTTATTCTCTGTTTTGTGGAATTAATAAGTTATAAGCTTCGACTTAAATGTGATACTAGATCTTCTTCTTCAAAATGTTTGACGACTTGTGTTTATTACTAAACCAATTCCAGCATATCACCAGACAGTCATATCCAAGGAATTTAAAGATGTAGTCCATAGGAAACAATTACCATAAACCTCTTTAAGAAATATTTCTAATTCACAGAATCAACAGATAGCATAAGAAACAAAAAATTATAAGGTCCAAAATACATGCCATTTAACTGCTGAAGACTCACCCACTTTTGATCTATCTCTATTATACACGTTCAAGTTACTGAAATTTAAAGCTCAAGACCAATTTTTTTTCTTTCACCAAACCAGTTTTCTATTTCTTTGAAGTGTACTTTACATTTTATGTATTGCATGAAATTAATCAGGCTCACTAAATATCAATTAAAAATTATAGACTCCTGACAGCAATATCAAAGCATACTGCTTAAACATATAAAGCAGGTAAAACGCTGTTATATAGTAACTAAGCAGACAAATGAATTGCCTACCAGGTTTTTGCCGTGGATCATAGATAACCATTTGGTTAGTATCTGGATAAACTACTTTTGAAGACACTGCTAAATTGCTTGTCAGGCCCGTAGAACCCTCATCTATACAGAAAGGGCAGAGATTACTAAGTAATAGCCAAACAGTACCAACTACAAATACAGAAAGGGCAGAGATTACTAAGTAATAACCAAACAATAGTGGTACCTACAAACCCAAGTCCATTCAGCATAGTTGACTTCTCCACTTTCTTATTGATATTTTTAGCAAGCCACTGAAAAGCAGAAACAGGGTGAGGTACTAATCAATAGAGAAACAATTAAATTATAAGTGACATGATGCAGCAGCCATAAGGCCCACAACTAGGTTCTAGAAGAATTACGCCTCTCACTTAAAAGGAGCTTTTAGTGCTATCGAGTGCTTCCTTCCTTGGTAGGTTATGGAGTCAGTCCTTGCTAGGTTTAGAGTGTTAATACGAACCAACACAACTTCAATAACTCCAAATAAACCCCAAGTAGGTCCAGTTACGGATTTTGTCATGTCAACAGGTATACAAAATCAAACCATCTACCAGAGAATGCTTAAAAGTTTATGACAGCATGAACTCAATGTAATAATGCTTGCACTTAGATCTCAACTTTTTGGATTATGGTAGGTATGAGGCTGTGTGCTAGGAAAAAGGAAAATACTGATGAAGAAAGGAGTAAATAGTTTCAATGGACACATTAACATAATATTTTCATTAGAGATACCTCTTGTCGGGCTAAATGATCCAATTCCTTTGAAGAGCAGGGCCAAAGATCCATGAAACTGTATCGTGATGCAACATCTTGCAATGAACTTTCCAATGATGAAGGTCCCTCTTCACCTGTTCCAGAAAGTGCTTCTTTTTTTCTTCGCTCAACCTATATGAATCACAGATTCAACAGCTTATTGCTTTGTTTGGAAGACAGGGATCAAAATTAGCAACAATAATCTAACAATACCTTTTTATATCAAATTCAATTTATACAGACAAGTAATTAAAAAAAAAAAAGTTCAGGATTCAGGGCTTAGTATCCCATGTAATGTTTAATCCTGGAGCTATATAGCTTAATTGACAAAAATACATAAAACGTCTATAACTGTACACTATTTTCCTTTCTCAAAATCAAAGAGAATGTCAGTCAGGTACAACTGTATTGATGAATACGACACAAATTCTGTTCTTAGTGTCCAGGCAATTATTATTTTTTTATATATAATGGAACTGTCAAATAAATCTTAGAACAAATCAGAAGCCAAGGTGATGCAGGAAGCGTAGGACCTAAATTTATTAGTTTCCTAGATTCCTAAGAAGCACGGACACGGATACGGATACGGCGATACGATACGACACGACACGGGGATACGGTAAATTTCCAAAAACTAGGATACGATACGTCATGGATACGGTTATTAAAAAAATATATTAATATATATTAATAAATATATATAACTTAAAACAAAATTTTAAATAAATAATAAATTATAAATTATAAATATATTGTAGCATTTTGGGCTTTCTTTTCTGATTCTTTATATTTTTAGGCATGTATAGCTGTTTTCACCCAAACATATCATTACCAAAAGCCCATTTTAATCCTATCGCTTAAGACCCAAACCCATAAACAGATCTATTAAATATATATATATATTACAAATCCTGTTTTAGTAAACGACGTCGTCACTTGAGATAATAGAAATTAGGTCAGTCGACGACATCTTCTTCTTCCTCATGTGCGCCGATCTCTCTCTCTCTCTCTCTCTCTCTCTCTCTCTCCCTCCCTCCCTCTTTCTTGAAACGCAGCGCCCAGGGGCTCCTCAACAGCCCGTCAACGGCAAACTTCGCCCGGAGGAACGTATCCGAAAAGTCAGATACTCGTGTCTGGAATGTCGGATACACGTATCCGTTAGTCAACTAACGTATCCGTTGACTCCGATACGTATCCAATGTGTATCGGACCGTATCCGAAGCGTATCGTATCCAAACGAGTATCCGATACGGGATACGCCACTAAATTGGCGTGTCCATGCTTCTTAGCTAGATTCTCTAGTTTTCCAAATTCTAGTAGGATTTCTACTTTTCCAGATTTCCAGATTTCCAGATTTCTAGTTTTAAGTTTCCTATTTTATTTGGGTTAGGATTTCTGTTTAAGGAAGGGATTTTTATCCTATTATGTCTAGGTTTTAGTTTGCTATAAATACCCCCATGTAGTTCTTTAAAATGGAGATTTGGATATGAAGTAAACCTTCTCTTAAAACTATGTGATTTCTGTCCTTCCTTCTCAGTTCTCTGATTTCGGTCCTTTCTTTCGTCCCTTCAATCTATATTTTCGTCTCCTCGATCTCTTATATTCTTCTATGTTCTATTGTTTGAGTGCTTAATCTAATACCTATCGGCTGTACTACATCACAAGGGTTGGAGGAACTTGTTCTACCAAATACATAAACCAGTTTCCCAATTCTCGCTAAGTAGAGAGACTCACAGTTTTCACCATTATAGAGGAGCCCATTCACATAAGAAAACTTTGACAATGGGCAAACAACCCAAAGCAAAAATATTGCTTTACATAGAGAGCAAAATAGTCAGTCACCAAGGAAAAAAAAGACCTTAAGATTGAAATGGAAAAATACATCGCAAACCAAAAGGAGAGGTCATATTTACTACCTTCAACATGCTAGCTAAATCTCCATAAGTTTGCTCAAAACTGGTGAATCGCTTCCATACCTAAGAGGGAAGATCCATCAGAATCTTGTATTTAATATTAAAAGAACCGAGAAAACCTATCACTGATATGTTGAATACGTTAATAATGAAGCAGAGAATGCAGCATAACTTATCTTAAATAAAAACCAGGCAGGAAAACAATAAATATTTGATTTCGACATAAACATCAGACTCAAATTTACAGAAATATCAATATCAGTGACCATAACAGAAATTATGGAAATAAGCTTAAAAAGTGAAGAAAAAAAATTTGACACTTTCATCCTTGCATTACATTTCTCAATGAATTTCACTAATATAAGGAGAACCTTGGGACTGTTAGCTTAATTTGGAGATTCAATGTTTTTAAAGGTGAGGTGTTTTAGGTCTTCTAAAAATCTAGGTGTAAGCTTTCTGAGATGTAAATTATTATAGTTTAATATTTAGTATTGATAGATTGTTTAGTTCTATCTGTTAGGTTTGGGCTACATCAGTCACTTTACTTTTGGTAACCACAAAGCTGTTTTATTTGGACTCTGCTGCCTCAGCTAGTCAGCTTCAGCAAATATACAAAAACAAGGAGCAAAGTGTCAAAGCATAGAACCATAGACAAACCCCAGTAGTCTTAGTCCAAGTGATCAATGAACTGTTTCATTTGAAAGGCCAAAAGACCAGATATCAAATGGTGCCGTATATGCCAAAAAACTTTCTTAGGGAAAAATATATATATATTTGAGGTGGTCTTCTTCCTAGAGGCTTATGCCTCTGAAACCCTAAATACATTCGTGCCGCCTTATTTCAATCCGATATCACGGTTTCAAGAATATTAAGCCGATATTTCGGAATATCCATATCATGGGGTGCATATAGTCTTCACCCCCTTTCCATATCCATCTCCTATTTTTCCAATATATGGACGATATTTCCATCACTGAAAACAACCTAGTTTTGTACTGTACATAAGGCTTAAGCCTCAAAACTAGCGAAGAAGTCCAAATAAGTAAAATTTAATTTTGTATGACTTTTCCAAAGGAAGAAAATCTCTAAAGCTCCAATCCATTCAGTCCTTTTTCGTCTTCTTAGTAAACAGAAAACATAAAGAAAGTAAACAAAACATGAAATCCACAAGAGATAGTAAAATAATAATAAGGATCCTGCTTGGACTAACAGAACAAGCATCTCAACAACTTATCTTCAACATCTCTACAATTTCTCCCTAGCCAAATACAACAAATACTACGGATCAGCACCCAAAGTTGTAAAACTAAATTGAAGTAAGCTACCTAGAGTAGAGGAAGTTTGGAATGATTAGTCGTGTAGATGACTAGAATACCTAATTGTAACAAATCCTGACTTCAGAAATAACCTACCACAAGTAGAAATAGAAACTTAATACAAGCGAGAGGACGAACACAAACATACGTGTATATTTATTTATTATGTACATGACAATGGGTGTCTACCTCAACAGATTCCTCTGATGGTAGTGAGCTTAATGCCCTCTCAAATAACGCTCGAATATTTCTATCATCATTTAAACGAGTTAAAAAATCTGCATACCTGCAACAACAAGGACATGATAATCGATAAGAACACAATAACAGATATTTCAACACACAAAAAGAATACATCAATAAGAGCATAAATATCATATCCTTCAATTTCTGTTTTCTTTTACCTAAATATGACTAATAATATGAAATACAAATTGCCACTGTTAGTCACATAACAAATCTGCCTCAAATTCACTATGTGGACAACCCATATCTATGTGCCACACAACACAATGAAACTCACAGACAATAATAATGTAATACATACATCTGGGGCCCATATTTATGTGGTGTGTGAGCAGCACTAGTTGGGATAAAATATCACAAAGTTGCGTCTCAGCACAAAGAGTAGGGCCACATCCCACAAGCATGAATAGGATCCAGATGTGGGGGACCTACAGGAATCAAAAAGTAAAAATGAAACCTTTGGGTTAATAATTTTTTAAACTTGATAGGCAAGCGGTCTAGGAGAGTATAAGGTCTCTCCAAAGTATGCTGTTTCTTACTAAACAAGAATGTCCAATCTGAGCTACATATTACTGAAATGCAGGCACAGGTGGAATCCATCATGCCAATAGGATTAATGCCACAACAGTGAATTGCACTTGAAACAAATAGAGAGCTCTTCAATTTCCCAAAAGGAACCCTTTCCAGAATTCCTACACTCACACATGCCTATAGGATCAACTTACTAAGTGTATTGGACACTGCATATAACATTTCACTTCCATAAATCCTACAATAAACATCACCATAGCAATTTGGTATGCATAATCTATGGAAAGGACATGAACTCACTCAAGAATGTACACAGGCTCATGCATAAACCGTTTCAACCCAGCTTCAAAAACATTGTGTGCCATCTGCGTGGATGTAAGATAATAGTAAATGTTTGTTTCGTATCAGAAAAAAATAATAATTAAAAAAAAAGTCCCTTAACAGTATATTAGATTATTGTCCAATGTCCCAACTACTGGATGTTTAGTTCGGTGTGGATGCTCCTCCAGGCTGCAGTGTCTAAGCTCTAGGGTACACACTGGACCCAGTACCTAGGACTCGGGACCCTGGAATAGAGACCACATATCCTGGACGTGGGACCTAGATCATGGATTCTGAGTGTAAGGTCCAAGGTCTGAGGGTCCGGGTTTGGAGTCCAAGGCCTAGGATTTGGAGTCTGACGTCTAGGGTGTTGGCTTCCCAGGTCTAAGTCTTGGGTGTTGGAGTCTTTTGGCTGAAGAGACTTATAGTTTGGGGATGAGCATTCCTAACCTATAATTTGGGAATGTGTGTTCCATTGTTTGGGCATGAATGGGAAAGAGTGTTCCCAAACTAAATATGTGAACCAAACAATGGAACCGGCCTTCTATAGGAATGCCCCCTTTATTCCAATGCATTCAAATGCAGATTCCATTTTATTCCTTGAAGCCAAACACAACTAGGATAAGTACAGTTGTGAGGAAGTATTTTTTTTTATTTTTTGGTAAATAAAACTGAGAAAATTTTATAGACTATATAATCCAAACACAAATAAATGCTATCTACAGTTTCAGCACTGATTACAGCTAATCATGAAAACATTGATTTTAACTTAAAAAAACCTTTGGATCCTTGTCAAGACAGAAAGCCATCATTGCATAAGCAACATAAACATGGTACGTGCAATTTGGAGATTTGCGAGCATCTAAAAAGTACTTGCGAGCTGCTTCAACTCCTTCAGTTCTCCTTAAGAAACGAATGAACTGCAGTGAAAAATACTAACATGAGATTCTTTCCAAAGAATGGACAAAGTTAGTTGTAAGCTGCAGAATACATGTAATCAAATCTCTATTTTCAATCAAACATATGTTCGGCATAAATAATTTTATGGTGGAGACGCCTGCAGGATTACTTATATAGGTGAATTAACAAATTAAAGAGCTTGGGAGAAAAGTTTAAGCAGCAAGGAAGGCCTATACAGAAAAAACAAAAACATCAAATAACTTCAACTGTATCTTCTAAACTTAAGGTTGGCTTATAAAGTCCCAACGGCCGGCCAGTTTAAAGCCCATTTATTAAATTATATTTATTTTAGAGAAAAAGAATACATAATATTATTACATTTATATCTTAAATTCAAGTCTATTTCTTTTCACTAATAATATATATTAAAATTTAATGTTATCTTTATTTATAAAATAATGATTTTGTTTTTCAAGTTTCAATTTTAAAATCCAAACAATAATCTAGTCAATTAATTAAATGTACTTTAAATAAAGTTATTGGCCTCTTTTTTCAACAAATAATAAATCTTGTTTGTATATACATAATTGTAAAAAAGATTTAAATGAAGTTGTAAAAAAAATTATAATAAAAAATGCAATACACAAGTCAAATTTGGCATGAGCCATCACGGCCCGTTTAATGGCCCAAGCCCATATGGGCTAGGGCTGTGGGCTCAAGCCGGTATTGATGATTTTCATAAATGGACAGGCCTGGCACAGCCCATTTGACACCTCATGAAACTAGAAACTCCTATTTTACAAGAAGAGTAATCCAATATAAGCTACAACGAAGACTTAACCAACTCTAACATGAACTCACTAAAACGCCTCAAACACAGCAAAACGTGCAAAAGCACATCTATTACAAACTTCAAACGAGTCTGAGATGAATCACAATAGAGGGAACATCCCTAAATTGCTTAGGAAAAGATGCCCACAAGGAAGCAAAAGAATCCAATTGCGTCCCAAATAGAAATGAACTCTTCTTCCATATCTCCAAAAACTGTTCCATCCATTTCCCATCACCACCACCCAAACAGAAGGTAAGAACTGCATAATGCCAAAGGGTAACATCTCTCTTCTGAAGCCCTCTCCCCAAAAATATCTCAGTCAAAAAAGAATAACAATTTCATGAAACAGCACACTCCAAGTCGAAAGCACTGAACAACCTGGTGCAAATCTATGACACAAATACCCAATTTAAGAAGATAAACGCAAATGATTGACCCATTGTTTCACACAACACATGCCACTGAGGAGATCAAGAAGCATAGGGCCTCCTCTTTTAAAGCATATCATAAGTATTGATTTTATCATGAGGCACCTGTATTACAAAATTAACTTATTAGGACCAAAGGTAGGCTGAATGGGGTTATCTAGCATAGATTGAAGAATGGCTCCAAGAAGAATAAAAAAACACAGGGCCCAAGTCAAGAAAATTACATACATTGGAGGATCATGTCCACTTAAAGATCCAAAGAAAATACTTACCTGTATATGAGCAAGTGCTGTTGTGTTAACACCATCTCCCAAAAGGCTTTCATATATTTTCTTTGTAGGCTGCAAGAAAGCAGTAAATCCAACTCAACCAAGCCTTCAGAGCAAGAAATATCAACATGTAGAAAAGAAATTTGTAATCCTAATACCTGAATTGCTCCACGGGATTCTTCCAGCTCTCCATAAGCATACCGAAGCATCTCCGAGTCTGAGAGAGAGAGAGAGAGATTCTTACACTACTTTATGCCATTTAATAGACAAAGGGTGAAAACCATCCAAAAAAATTTCATAGGACCACTACACTCATGCTTATATAACAATCAAGCCAAAGCAGCAAGATAAAAGAAGTGGCCCTAAAAGTACTTCAAATTACCAGGTCTTGCCTTCAAAGATCTCTGGAAAACTTTAATTGCAGCATCTATTGAACCACTTTTTGCATGCCACATGGCATAGTCATACCACAAATCAGGATAATGGTATAGATACATTAGACACTGGAAACCAACAAAATGCAGTTAGGAAGTCAGAAATAAAATTTGAACAAGGAACAGTGAACAATTGCATAAATAAAATGAAATAAATGTACGCAATTTTATGAAAATATACTTTATTTGTGTGCATAATTTAGTGAATTCATATGATAAACTGCACTCTGAATATATAATGTACGCAATTTTATGAAAATATACTTTATTTGTGTGCATAATTTAGTGAATTCATATGATAAACTGCACTCCGAATATATGTTTTTGTTCATGATGGTTGAGTGAATTTACAAAAACCAAAAAGCAGAGCATCAGATCTAGAATAGGACTAAAATACAGTACACGAGATTACATTTTAATTCTACTGCATTAGGTACAATAGCTCCACTCCACATTATTACACAACTTGCATGTGTCGGTGATGATTAACTTAGATGAGACTAGTTAGACAGAATAGCATCCCCATCATACAATAGAGGATTACAAAGACACGAGGTGACCAAAAGAGGATAAAAACATACAACAATTAGAAAAGAAGATGGATAAACAGGTAAATTTACATATCCAAAATTGAGAAGCGTTCAAGCCAAAAGAAAAGGTTGAGAAGTGTTCAAATTATCGACTTGTACACAAATCCCAATCATCAGAGTATTACAGTGATAAGCAACACGAAGTATCTAGGAATATCCAAACATGCACCAATAAATTCTTTAAAATTGAGGAATTCATAAGATTCAAATAAGCTATTTTTAGCTTAATATCCAACAAACTAGACAATCTAGAAAATCTTTACTAATTTTATGAATTCAAGTGAGAAAAAACTATATCATATTTTCTCTACCTGCTCATAAGTGAAAATAATTCGCTTGTTGGATGATCCATTGTCTATCCTTTGTGGATTTCCTCTGAAATGCAGTTACAAGAAAATAGATTAAAATACACAACATTCTCAAATGAACTACAGAACAAACAAGCATGACAACAAAACTGAAAAAACAATAATAACTATGAGCATGCAAACTTTGGGGTAAGTTATCCATTTTCATTTTTAACTATTTGTAATGTCAATCTTGCTTCAGAATCATCATATAAAATACATGAGGTTTATGGTTTAGGGTTCCATTTCATTTCAGAGACTTCTGTAAGCTTGATATACATTATTTGCTTATTCCCTGGCAGCTTATGATTTTAGGCCTAGTGGTTTTCAAACATGGTATCAGAGCCTTCTATGTCTGCCTCTCCATATGCAGGATGGGTCTGCAAGTGAGTGGCAGTGTAAGCTTGATGTGCATAGGTGGCCCATTCCATGACAGCTTAAACTTTTGGGGCTAGTGGTTGTCTAAAACCTTAAACTCAGAGGAGCAACATCCAACAACTGCCAGTAGAAATATTAACCTGTATCGCTCTATATACAAGAACTTTACTCTTGTAGTTATCTAATCTTTGAACTTTCTAATTCATGGAAGCAATGAGCACAAGTGGTCAATCATATCATTTTCACATTTGACATATGAGGGCATTCTCAGGAAGTACCAAATCTCTTAAAAGGGTAAAATTTGCACAAAAGCATACTTATTTTTTTCACATAGGTCCCTACAAGCATCTCATTCTTTAAGTGAAAAGGAATCTGCAAATAAAGTTAGTAACAGATTGCAGATTAATAATAATTCATGATCTATCATGTCTGACGATAATGAATACATAACCACTAAAAGTGAAAAACAGTATGGAACTACCACTTACTTTTCAAAAGCTAACAACTTCTTCCATGCCATCCACTGCAATTCTTCCTGTAAGAGCACAACACATCATTACATTTGCCATTGCAAAATATACATGAGAATTCCAATCTGCAAACAAAGATGTGGTTCTCATACAGCAAACAATGGCAAAGACCAAGAAAAATACGTCCTGCTTGTTGCCATGTACGAAGGCAAGTCAGTAAATGTCCAAGACTGCATATGTTACATTACACCTAAAAAGTCAAGACAAATCCTCATACAACTTTTTCCACCATGGGTCAACTGTAATATGAAAAATCAGACACTAAAAGAACATTTAAGTTGCAAGTTAATTGTGTTTCCGAAACAAGGCCAGCAACCTTGATAGCATGTTTGGATAAGAGATATCAGCTGAGATATAAAAAAACATCAGCATCTGCGAGCCAACAAATCACAAATTACAGCACAATAAGAAGCAAAATTGCCTTGTAAGAGCCAGTTGGTGGTACAGCAAGCATATTCCAGTCAATTCCATCAACGTACTTCTTCCGCTCCCTGTAGACGGCCCTGGCACTGTTAAATTTGGGTTGATATTCAGATAACAGTCCTTTTGCCTGCTTAATGCAACATCATCAGATTTCCAATCCTTTAAATGTCTTTCTTAACAAAGATATAGAACCCAAGCACACAGACAGACAGTCATACATAGTTCATATCACATTTGCATTCCAAAACCGAAACGTTACCAGTTGACGGCTGACAGAATTTTCAAAATTTTCATATTCCTTCCAAAGTTGTTCAATGTGATGGGTAGGAGTAACAATGGCTTTCTGGTATACTTTCCGCACAGCAATCATGCGTTGTGACTCTTCCTGTGTGCTTAAAGCCTGCAAGATCATGTTTAAAAAAGTTAGTGCCCTTGACATCAATAATTAATGAACAGCAGCTACAACAAAAAATAAGTGCAGCATTCTTGCCACCCCCATCTTGTTCTCCACACCCACCTTTAATAATTTTTTTCTTTTAAAAATTTGTCCCTATATAAAATAACTGTAAGGATAATATATTAAAACAAAACAAAAATTCTGAAAAATTCTAGAACCTCGCTGCCATGACCCATGGGAACCACCATGCACAGGTAGATAGGTCAGCTGCTGACCCTTGTTGAGAGAGTTAGCTTCGTTAGTATCAAAAAAATGTGTCAAAAAAGAATGTCTAGGGTTGGAGTTTAGAGCATTCTTGTAATAAGAATCTATGGATTGATTAATCCCTTTATATTTTAATGGGGTGGGAAAAGTAGGTCAATGGGGTGAGAAGAACGGGGGACAACAATAGCAGCGCTATTCTTAAACTAAGGCTGGAAATTCTGGTTAATTAGTTTCAGGATGAGATGCAGCACATTGAACAAATAACTATTTGGACTCAGATGTGATATCAGATTTAACCTGCAGTTGTCCTGAGGCAGCAGGTTTGTAGCCTGCTGTTTAAGGGGAGTTATGCAGAGGACAACATACTAACCAGATCAACGCCTACAGGCAACATGACACATGAAACTGTTTATTAACTAGGCTCAACAATGTTTATAACCCAACTGACGTCTTAAATAAAAAGGTCATTTCAAGTACATGTTAACACATCAACATAACATGACTATTAGATGTGTAATTTGAGTCATTTGTTAGTTAGGTGAGTTCAACAAAAACACAAGCTGGTTAATCGGGCTGATAAGGTTTTGACATATACACGATCATGCTCAACATAACCCGCTAAGATTGTCTGCATTAGAGACTCAAAAATGGGTATCAGTGAAGAAAAAAAAGCATGGGGAGGCTTTTTTTTTTTATCTAAAAGAAGAGTCAGAGTCAAGTCAAAAGGTAGATCTTGTTTCTGTTTTAAAGTAGTAAATATAGTATGGGTTATTAAACAAATCCTTGAAGCCATAACTAGAGTAAGTTGATATTATAAAGATAATTAGTTTTCATAAGTAAAACACTTGATGTTTTCCTGAATAAAGGCCTTCCCCAGATTGCAACTCTAAAAATCTTGATCCAACAATTTTTGGTGTAAAGTCCGTGGTCCACTGGAGCGAATAATAGACTATGTCCTTCTTCTATTTACATCAAGTGGTACAAGAGCCACTCCATCAAACCTGTGATTGTTCCAGATATGAGTACTGATTGTTCCCTATCAGTTCTCATCAATACTTCAGTATTCTCTCAAACTCTGAGCAACTTCCTGAGTTAATGCTTTTCACAGATTTCAACTTAGAAAATCTTGGTCCAACAGTGTTTGATAAGAATCAATCCTTGGTCTATTGTCAGAAGTATATCTTTTTTTCTGTACATATATATATATATATCCCCTTTCACCCCAAAAGAGCCATAATAAAAGTGAATATAGTGGAAGAAAATAACAAACCGGCAAAGACTTTAAAAAGGTGATGTACTCCATCCACACAGGCCCAGATGCTATATCTGCTCCTGGTAGCACATGCAAAGGAATAAAACAGCTTTAAACCGCACTGAATTAGGAGCATGTTTCAATTCACTAGATGAACCAAAATGCTATATAATGTAAGTATAAGCAGTAAATGCATAGTTAATACTTACATCCCTTGGTTAAAAACAAATATTTCATAAACATATCATTTACATGTCAAAATAAATAAATAAAATCTTACATATTAAAGTGAAAGAAGAAAAAGAAAACTTAAAAAATTGGTAAAAGAACAACTCAAAAAATCAGATAGAGTTGTTCACACATATATAAAGAGCTTCATTTTTTAATACATTTTTATTCCCGATTCCGACATTGTTTATTTCTTGAGAGTGTAGACTATCTTCAGAGCTTACAGAGCCTAAACCATTACCCCTAAGCCCTAAATGGATTTTTGCCTGCAATTCGAATGGATCCCACTTTCAGTTTAACTCTAGACTTTAAACATTACTAACTTCAAGTCATTTTATTTAAAATCATATTGCAGATCCAAAAAAACTGAAAACTTCTTCTAACAGCAATCAAAGGCTATCAAGCTGAAACACTTTAGTACTTATTTTTCTTTACCTACAAATGAGAGAACCTAGCAAAACTAGGAAGTGTTTAAATTTTCAACTAAAAGAAAATTAAGACAGCGGAGTAAACATTAACAAGCATCCTAAAAGGCTTAAGTCAAAAGACATACCAACATAACTAAGCATAAAATCAAAAGCTTTTCTAGTCTCTTCCTGACCCTCTACCCCCTTCTTGTCATTCACCTTTCTGATGAAACGAATGTAGCATCGCCTACAAAGCCAATACAATTAAGACAATGAAGCATTACAAATCATTAATGGGAGAGAGACATTTACAAATACAGAAGAAAAAAAAGGGGGTTAGTTGTGAGGAAAGTGGAGTAATTGTATGAAGAAATGAAATTTTAGTGGAAAACAAGAAAACACGGTATCTTCTGTCTCTTTTGAATATATAATTTTCTAAAAACAATGCTATATAAGATTAAGATCTATGTTTTTTTCTATAGAGGGATTTATTTTGTTCTTTTAATTAAAGCTTGTCATCTATCATACTATTACAGGCAACGTAACTGATATACTATATTTTATACAACACATTCTAAATTTATATGAAACTCGTCTGTACTCAAGCAAATAAAGTTCTATTTATCTTCTCTGCAGACTGCTCATGCACTAATGTTCAAAGCAGAAGAATACCCCAAATTCTCAGCTCTTCATTGCCCCTTTTCAAAAAAAGAAAATTCATTTGCCCCTTCTCTTCCCAACTTAAAGCAAAATACCGCAGATTTTACCCCCAACTTCCAGCCCTCAAAAGAACGTGAATATGCTGAAATTATCTGTTGCCAAGCATTAAGTTCAATCAACACAAAGCTCCCACCTGGTCAAGATTAATTACACTGCAGAGAAATCGAAAGGGCTATGGTAAGTCCCAAAGAAGGAAGAGACACCTTTCCCATAAAAATAAAATAAATAAACCCACCTCCCAAGCAGCCACAAAATTATGGTTTGCTTCCACTTTGCTCCAATCTTTCACTATTTTCCTTCGCATCCCAAGAATGAGGAGCCACCACAACGGTGCTCCCGGGTAGGGGAAGGTGATGGCTGTTGGGGTGGCGGACGGGTGTGATGGAGGAGGGGTGGTTTGGTTTTCATCTTTGTAGTTTTGTATTTACCTTTTTTATCAATTAAAACTCTATGTGTAAGTAATTTGCTGACATTATCTGTTACAAAGCATTAAGTCTAATCAACACAAAGCTCCCACCTGGTCAAGATGAACCACACTAAAGAAAAATCTAAAGGGCAACGATAAGGCCCAAAGAAGGCCAAGACACCTTTCCCATATAATAAAATAAATAAAGCCACCTCCTAAAGCCGACCACATAACCCTATATATGATACGTTTCCTAAACCATCCTGCATCATGATGATATTAGAAGCTGCATAATCAACAAATTTATTCAGGACTTATAAGTTGATAAACACACTGCAGATTAAGCATATACAAATTTATTTGATTAAGTGGTTTTCACTAGGTGGTAAAGGCAGGCAGAAGATGATCGGTTGGGTTCAAGACACAAATCATTGTAATTACTTGTCACATTTGACTCGATCGACAACAAAAGAAGTTCACCTCAATTCCTACTCATTCAAATATAAAAGCATACGACATCATAACATGGAATCACCAAAAAAATACAAGAAAAAAACTCTTATCAATCAAATTAGGTAAACTTCAACTTAAAGCAAGCAAGATTTTGCAGACAGTATTTTGGCTGTAGAATAAAATTTACCAAAGAGGAATTTGCAAACAATTCAACAAACACCGGCTAAATATCTGTTTTGTGGCCTCATCATTATTTACAACCATCTGCGCCTCCACATATTGCTTCCAATATTTTGCCTGGAGAGAAGGGAAATCAGCTAAATACAGAACACTATTTTCAAAACATGGGAAAGACAATGAGATAACTAAACAGATTTTAGACTTCTCCAAAAATAATCATTAGCATTTATGTGCTGTGTCCAGTACTCCTCTAAATGCTTAACATGAGTTTAAATAAAACAGTTTAAGGGGATGTAGTTTTTGTAGACTTCTATAATAAGTCTCGCAGAGTTCGACATACTTCCTTTGCAGATTTATAAGGATTACGAGACATTTTTTTCCTCATTTTTTGGGAGATTTCGTGACAAGTAGATTATAAAACCTATCCTCAACAGCTTGTAGTCAGACCAAGCCCTTCCCAACCTGAATTGCAAGGGTCTAAGCCTGAATTCCCTCTAGGACTCATATAACCACCCAAATTTTTGTTTTCTTTATACTTTTAGGTCATCTCCGTCATATATTATTTTCAGTATCATTTATGTTAATTGATATTTAATAAGCATATGATCTGTCACAAAACCCCGATTAAGGTACTTAGGCCATGTTTGGTGAGTTGGATTATGTAGTTGGATAGGATTCATAATCCTAATCAAATGTTTGGTGGCGTAAAAAGAACATGGATTGGGTCTAATCCTACTAGTGCCAAATGCAGTAGGATTGTGAATCCTACTCAAATGTTGGGATTAAGTTGGATTGGATTATGTCTAATCCTACTAAGCCATGTAATAGCACATTTCAATTAATCCAACCCCTTAATCATGTGTAAGACCAAACACATCATTGGATTAGTGTTATCATTTCCAATCCAATGTAATCCAATGCAATCCAATCCTACCTCATAATCCAATCCAATCCCAGTCACCAAACATGGCCTTAGAGAGAAGTTCTCCAAACAAGTGTTTACTTCAAAGAGAAGTACTTTAAGCAACTAGGAGTTCAGATACAAGACATTCTTCTTCAATAACCCAGGACCAGTGCCCCCAAAAAATCATAGCTCCATTCTTTCCACACTTCACAAACATCCTTTGAAAATATAATATTTTAAAAAAATCTTAACAGTACAAATGATGGCCCTTCCCACAAGTCACAGCCACTCTACCTAAAAGGGCCACAGAAACTTTTGTACTCAATCTTCAACAACAAAAATATATCATGCTAATTCCAGGATGTAGGAAGATAGTGGATATGGAACTTAAAAACTTCAACAAAAATAATATAAGATGCTAATTCCAGGAGTACAAAAGTTCATAATTGAAACTCCAAAAATCACAGAGCTCATGATATCCTCTTACCCCAACTTTGCAATTAATTCATTCCTTGAAATGAAAAATGGAAAGCTGGCCAGGGATAAGAAAACAATAAATGTAGACCAAAAATGTCTGTAACATACTCAAGAAACAAATATTCTCTGCACCCTTAGGTATAATCCAGTTGGTAACAGAAACGGTCAAAATAATAACATAACCATGTCATAAGAAAGAGCAAAGAGTTCCCACCCTACTGTGGGATGACTAACGATCAGAAAATACCAACGAAATAGTTTTCAACTCTACAGAAAACACGAATGATCAGAAAACAAGCTCTTCTATTCTCTTCGCAAATGGGCCAGAAAATTGCAAATTGACAAATTTTCCATAAGATAAAAACTTCAACCTAATTGAAACCTGCTTCAATTCCAGGTTAGTCCCAAGAATTAACACCAAAATTCTGGTAAATAGCTAAGCACCTTGTGTATCAAAACAACTCTCCGTTAAGCAGAAAAAACAAGATAACCAGCCCTTATAGTTGATACTCCAGTGTCTAAGTCGTCAGTCTAAAAATGGGGCATGCAATCTATTCTTCAAAACAAAAACAAAAACAGAAAAGCAAAATTTAAATAGAACTCCACTGAAAAATAGAGTGATCTAATACAACAAAGCTAAAATATAAAAAGTATATTACATATGGCTACATATATAGGAGTGTTCAGACAGATAACACTAGGTATTTTAATAAGATGCATACCATATTTTAAATTCTTTGGATGAATGTCTAAACAGTTAAAAATATAAAGGTTTAGAGCATGTAAGTAAATGATATATTTTGAACTAACCGTTTGGATATTCATCCAATACCTTAAAGCATGGTAGTTTTACTGTTAAAGTACTTAACATTAGGTGCCTAAACATTCCTTGTGGGTTGTCCAAGATCCAAGTTTAAATAGAATTGCAATGAACTAAAGAATGATCTAAAGAACGTAAAGCCACAAGATAAAGAATACATTATTTGTATATATAGCAGTTAGAAGGAACTCACTGCAGTGGGAAACACCGTCAAAAGTTGCTCATATATTGGTGCTGCCTCTGAAATAGGCAAATGCTAAATGGAAAGATATATGAATAAAAATTAGGTGTACCTCCAAATAAATTACCCCAAAAAAGAAAAGCTGAAATAGGGCAGAATTGCAGTGTCATACTAGTGCCTCATTGGCTAGACTTTCGGTGGCTTCAACATTGTATTTATCATCCACGAGTTTGCGATCTGAAAAGTTGTATAACATAAAAAATTTAAAATGAAAAGACAAAACGAAAGGAGAATCTATGAATATATATATATATAGGGTCAGGATTGGGGGAACACAAAAAAAGCCACAAATTTATACACACATTTTCAACCCTTAGATTAAAGCAGTTTAATGGCTAAGATTGCATTGGAAAAGAAATCAATACCCTCTCAACCATATGATTAATATGCCTTGGAAATAACTAGAGCCTTCAAGATTCTATGACAACAACTAGAGCATTCAAAGCCTTAATCTTCTTATCTCACTACATTCGATAAAACTGAACTTCCAGCATAGCAAAAACCAATATCAAAACTCACCTTGATCTCCAACTCGTCTGAGCTCGGCTTCCATATGCCACTGTAATTCTAGGCCTGCATTACAAACCCAATATTTTACAGGATCGCGGTGTTCAAAGTTCAATCATCCATTTCATGTGATTTACTTGTTAAAGGAATTTAAATTTTCAACGAAACAAGTTGTAATATCCTTTCTGTACGAATATCCAACAATTATCCATCTACTTTCTTATTAAATATTACCAACATACTATAGATTGACAAACTCCAAACCTAATTAATTAAGGGGAAAAAATACCATACCAAAAGGGCAATCCCTAAAAGAAACAAACCAATTATCACCTAATAAGGTTCACAAAGAAGGAGAACGAAAACTAAATTACACTTACCTCTTTAATTGACCAAATGCTGATATCAATAACTACTCAAGCGTTAGTTGTCAAGGAAGAATAATGAAATATGGAGGACGAATAACCGAAGGAGAAGGGTAAGGGGCAAGGCAATTGGCTTCACAATTTATCGGTTAATAACTGGAGAAAAGAAGGAAGAAGAAGCATTGCATAAGTAGTAGGAAAGGGAATGGAAAAACAAAAACTATTTCAGTACCCTTCAGTATAATTCAAGGGAGTGCACGAAGAAGACGAGAGAGGGGATGGCACTGTGCTGGTAAAAGTTTCTTTGCTCAAACCCAAACAATTTTTTTAGGGAGAATTTGAGTTACACCCCTAGGTTTGGACTGGGTCAAGGATTTGAGTTTGAGAGGGGGCAGGGGTTCTGGGTCGGGGAGGGGATGGGGATTTGGGTCGGGAAGGGAGAAAAGAGACAGAAGGGGATGTAATGGCTGTTGGGGTGTGGGAGTGGTGAGTGATGACTTGTTGGGATGGAGGTGGGGGAGGTGAGAGATTCTGGTTTTGATCTTTCTTAATATGATTTATTTAATTTTTTTAATATATATTATTTTTATTCAATAATATAAGAAAATTATGTATATAATACCTGTGTTTATGATTGAAAATTTTGTAAAAAAAAATATATTAAATATGAAAAATAAGTACATATATCTATCTTCTATCTATATATATAAAGCAAAAGGCAGAGAATGGTGAAACATTCAAAATACCAAAAAATGCCCTTGTTTAATGCAAACATTAAGAATTAAAATTATTAATTAAATGAGGATAATATGGTAAATTCACATATTTTCATATTTAAAAAAAATATAATTAAAAGAAAAATCAGATAATGGCCTATTTTTATAGAACACAACTACCCATTATCTTTTTTAATTCTAAATAAATTTTTTTTTTTTTTTAAAAAGCCTCTCGCATGCGCGGAAGCGCGTGCAGAGAGGCTAGTAAATAATAATAATAATAATAATGCCATGTATGTAGTCTCCCTACAAATAAAAATGACATTTCCTAAATCATTCAAAACCCCATGTCCTCGTTTTGCTGCTTCACTGCACACTTGTCTTTCAACCAAATTGCCATAAGTCTCTAAGGAAATCAGGCTTTTTTACTATAAAGGCAGAGAATGGTGAAACATTCAAAATACCAAAAAATACCCTTGGTTAATGCAAACATTAAGAATTAAAATTATTAATTAAATAAGGATAATATGGTAAATTCACACTTTTTCATATAAAATAATTAAAATTTAAAAAAAATCAGATAATGGATCATATTTTTATGGAACACAGTTACCCATTATCTTTTTTAATTCTAAAATAAATTTAATTTATTTTTTTTTTTAAAAGCTTCTCGCAAGCGCGGAAGCGCGTGCGGAGATGCTAGTATATATAATACGAGTATTAAACATGTAAATGCTAAATTTCTTATACATGTAATAGCTTAGGTTTAGGGGATAGAGACTCGGAATAGTATTAAATAATACAATGCTATACTATTTAAAATTTTAAAAAAAACGACTTATAGTCGCGCGGCTATACTATTTTTATTATTAAAAACATCCTAGTTTCGCCAAACGACTAGACTATTTATAAAAAAATTAAAGAAGGGACCGCCTAACGCCTA